CGCAATTCTCCTTTAGGTAAATACTACGACACACTATCATAATTTAAATATCATTTAGTCTTTAATAGATAATTAAATATTTTTAATCAAATATATATATGCCATCTTTGGACAGACAATATATATTTGACTAAAGAATGTTAATTTTACCTCATCATATTCACTATTCATAGAATAATTGATTCACCTTTGGGTAAATCCTTAAGTTCTAGCAATAGTGAAATTTAATTTATCAATTTATTTTTAATCACATTTATTTCATTAATCTCATGGTTAAACTACAATTTTTTTGTATGCGTAATTTCATTAACATACTAGTTTGGCCACTTTGGTGACTAACAAACTATATAAACATAAATGCATACATAAAATGAACATCAAAAAATTTTATGCATGTGAATATTTTAAACAATCTAATTTGATCGCTTTAGTGACTAACAAACTATATAAACATTAATCACATACATTAAAAAAAATGACTTTATCAACTAATAGTCCAAAACAAATTATTTTATGGCTCAACAATAGATACAATCAGCTTTACTGCTTATGCGGAAGAACCATGAGTTAAAACCTTTTAAGTATCAAATAAACGACATCCTTAAAGGAATTAGCCATCCCTGTTGGCCTCAAATTGGACTTCATAATTAATACATAAATTTCAGGTAAAATAAAGAAGTTAAACTTAATAGACAAAATTATTTGGGCTTAAGACGACTTACTGCATTAGGGCATCTATAAATAACTTTTCCGTTTTTATCATATTTTGCATAATTGCCTCTAAAAATTTGTTAAACACTCAAATATGTTCAACTATATTGAAAATATTCTCAAAAGGCACTTTGACAATTGAAGCAGTAATAATGTTTCAATGTTTTCGACCAACAGAAAGCCAACAAGGATGATAAAATATTTAAAGACATGATTTCGTAATTGTGGAATGCACACGCAATTTTTTAAACAACAACTAATTCATAAATATTGTTCTTTTCAATGAAGGTTATTAGTTAAAGTAATCTAGGCTCAATGATACCACGTGTAAACATAAACTTAATTCATACTAGGATCTTGAACATGATAATCTTACATAAAATTATTATAGAAAACATACATGAATCTTAAGTCATTATCACGAAGCGGAAACGTTAGTTGTAATTGGTTTCTCACCCCTTGCCCTAGCTTTCGTTACCGGCGACTTTAATGATGGAAGAGAGAATAGAAAAATACCGTAACCCTAATGGGTGGGGAGATGACCAATTTATAGAGGTTCTCATTTAATTCGGTACGTCCATCAAGTAACCGATCAGACGGATGTGATTTGTTTATTAATTAAATAATATTAATTACAGTCTTAAACCTATTGGGCCACCAATATAGTTAGGAAAATCTTACACTTGCAACCTAAACTTACTCTTTGCGGCTAGCTAGCATGTCTGCTTTAATGCATACTTTACCTTTCAAACTTTCTCGGAAATCTTTTTACACATTTTTCTAATAAATTAAAGGGATTGGTTTTTGATAAATAAAGATTGGAGCTAATAGACCATGTCACATGTTCATCAGTTACCAACTCAAAAAGTGCATGAAAGTGCTAACAATCTTCTATAATCCCATTTTTTTGATATTTTTCAGCTGCAAGAGCTTTTAAAGTGTTATATTTTCTATTTGAAGTTTCTTCATCCCAAACTCGCTCCCTATGCTTTTTATTAAAGCAGCTAAATCGATTTTTCTTCCAACTTTTTTCTTGGCAAATTTATATTCTTCATAAGCAACAGCAAGAGCTTTTGCTAGACTCGACCGAAGATGCACATGCACCCAGTCGCTGGGCCTCCATATATGTTCTTTTCCCCTTTATCAAAACATAAAAGCAGCTTCTTTTCTTTACTTAGTTGGGATTTGATCCCTGTCGTGACTTGAGTTGCATTTTCATTTGTCAAACTCAGCTACGTGTTTAAATTAATGGCGCGCGCTCCCTTTCATTCTGATGTTTTCATTATCTAGGTACTTCAAGAAAATTAAGATGGTAAACACTTGGTTGAAAAGTACTCCAAAGGGTAATAATGACAATTCAGCAACGCTTTCTCTTTTTTCTGGAGTGGGAAGTGGGATTCTCAGTTCTTTCACTATTAGTTCTGCTCATATTCTTCTGGTGCAGCAAGTTCACAGTCAGGCAGAAAAAGACTCGAATCGAGATGGTAAAAGAGAAGGCGAATCCAAAACAGAAATATTTGAAGAATGACACAACGAATCTCCTTAAAAATGAATTGGATGACAGCACAAACAATATGGTAATTTTCTTGAAAGATTTATCTTGTTTCAATTTCAATAAGAAAATTATAGGTATGTTAAAGTTACAGGAAATTTAATTTCCTTCTGGAGATTTTAGGCTTGAATTTAGTAAATTAAAGCGTCTCAAGAAAGCTGTCAAAGAATAAGTGTGTAAAAAGAGTTTCCATACAAGTTGGAAGGTAAAGTATGTATTGAGTCTAAAAAATTATAACGAAGCAATTAGTATCTCCAATACCTCTTTGTCACATGTAAAATACTTCTGTTTATAGACAGATTTATAGATTTGAAGTAAGTGGATGCATATCAAGATTAATTAATATAAAGAAACTGTATAATATGAACTATGAATAGAGTTAATTTGATCATAAGGACAATGATCCAAACCTGAGCAAAGTGCATTAGTAGTCACTTTTTAAGTCCGCTATTTAAAACATATCCATAATTTACAATGCATTTAAATATTAGCCAATTTGTCCAAACTTCAGGACTAAGTATCCTGAATTTCCGTATCCTAAATTTCTGAACTGCTAATTTAAAATTCAAGACATTAATTTCTAATTTTTGGGTATAATATTCGAATTTTAGGACACGATGTCCTGAAGTTTGAACCTTGAGATTTATATTTCAGGATGTCGTATCCTGAAGTTTGAGTTAATTGGCTAATTTTTAAATATATTGTAACCGTAGATATAGTTTAAATAGCATGCTTAAAAGTGGCTACCTAGCGTGAGAGATGCTATTAAGAGATTAGCCAATACTTATTTTTGTCCTGAAATTTTAAACTAAAAATCTTAACTTCATGATAATTTAGGACATTTTTATCTTGAAAAATTAAATTAAAAAACTGAATTCAGGACGCACTGGCTAATTTTTAAATGACAGCCCTTTAATGTCATTTCTACCCGGTCTAATACTCGAACAAATGGACCCAAATTTATGCTTACTACCTTGTACTTGTATTTTTCTCACTCCCCGCTGCAGCTAACTTTTTCATTGTGCCTTTTGTAGCGAACTTCTCAGTCTACCCATTCTCCTCTGACAGAATCAATTTGTGTCTTCCTGTTTTTCTTGTCGTCTTTTTCTGTCTCCGAATCCGACAGTATATATTTTCCTTTTATGTCTATCTCAAATTAGACCAAAAAACTTATGCCACTTATATATTTAATCTTAATTAATTATTACCTTAACACATTGGAATATGTAAATAAATACAAATTTTAAAAATATAGAATCAATTCCTTCTTGATTATGTAAATAAATACTTATTTTAGATTAAAATAAAAAAAAATAAAATAGTCACTTATTGTGGACCCGGGATAATTTAGTTGATAATTAGTTTGAGTGCAAATGACTAGCTTAGCAGGCCTAGCTTCTTTCTCGCCACAATTACAACAAGCATTACATGGGGGCTGTCAAATCGTTCAATTTACTTCAAATCCTGCCTGTGGATTTTCCTCATGTGCTGTGTTGAACTAACAAATTAACCAAAACCAACAAGGGGCCAAAATATCCAATAATACGCAGTAATTCAACTTTTATTGAATTGAAATAATAATATTATTTTCGTTCGAACATTTGACGTTTTGTTGGTTATAAATTTCTCTGATTATTATTTTGAAGAGAATTTATATCTTGCACTATTTATACGAAGATAATTTTGTTAATTAGAATGTCAAATAGCTCTCTTTCATGTGCATGATATAGATTTTATGAGTTTAATCTTTAAGTTTTTTTTTTGTATTGAGCACATTGTATGTTTAAAATTATGAGTTCTTATCTACTATTTGTTATAATTTTAGTAAATAATTACATATAAATATATGTTCTTCCTCGAAAATACTTGATTCAATTGAACCGATACTCGTGTGCCACATCTGCTTCGTTTGTCATAAATTTTTTCTTTTATGCGTGTTATCGATTGTCTTAAATCACAAAAAGGAGCTCTCTCAACGAAAAATAGAATGCTTTTCTATTCCTTTATTTGGTAAACGATTTGATAACATCCCACGTGTCAAAGTCTCTCCTTTGACAATAGTTCCTTGGAATAACATGAAATGTTGAAACGGGAATTGCAATTGGGGGGGGNGGGGGGAGGGGGGCAGGTAACTGACAATTGCAATATCAGTCCCTATGTAGACATGTAGGAGGAGAGCGTCCACACAATTAAAATATTTGTGATCAAATAACGAATTGAAGAGCCATAGAAAAATATTGCCACAAGTATACGATTAATAGTTTTTATCTTTTGCAGACCTTTAGTTTTGCTATTATCTATACCATTAGCCTAATTCCATTTATTACGAGCTTACTTACTCATTAAGAGATGATTGATAATTAATGGATGATATACCCTATCCCATGAGATAGAATTAAGTAATTTATTTGCATGTCTTTTTGCAACTTTCCCACTAAATCAGACTAATATTCTGCACATGCATTAACATTAAATTATAATTTCTCCAGTAAAAAAATCTAAAAAGAAGCTCGAATAATACTTTTAAAAAATAAAAGATATTCCGCTTGCCAATAGTCAATAGAAGTAAAGCCAAAAAAGGAAAAAGAAAAAAAGAAAGAAGCAAAACCCATAATGTAGCCAATTGGCAATGAGAGCCAAAGTGGAAAAATACAAGTCCACGTCAGCTTTTCCACCAGCTCCAAATCGATAAAAGGCAGTGGTCTTAGTCGAAGTTTTCATTATTAATATACTAATATACTATACTCGCAATATTCACCCAATTCAGCAATCTTTTCATATTCTTATATTTCCGTTTGTTTAACTACTTTTTCAATCGTCTCCATTAGGCAATTCCAGAGGCACATCGAATGGGTCACGGGAGCTCGAAATCGGATTCCTCCTCCGGTGATTCCGCCGACGGCGGCTCGAAACCGTCGCGGATGAGAAGACTCGGTCGACGGCTTCACCTGCACAGTGACCATTTCCGTCGCCGTAGTCGTGCTCACACCACTGGTTCACATTCTCACACCTCTAAAATCCTAAAGGAGGAAGATTTTGCTGGCATCGCTCTCATCCGGATCATCAGTGTACTTTCTCAGTTTCTCTACATAATTTCTAAAAAAATTAATTTTTCTTACTCACTCTGGTAAACGTAATACGCATATGTGTACGTTGTGCGTGTGAATTCGTATCTAGGCGTAAGTTTTGAAAAGATACAGAGTTTGACTTTCTGTAGCTGATTCCTACAAATATTTGTTGAATTTTCTGCACAGAATGGTAAATGTAACGCGTATATGGGCATGTCGGTCGTGCGAATTCGTATTTACGCGTTTTGTTAAAAGTTTTGAAAAGAATGAGAATGTGACTTTCTGCAACTAATCTCTACGAATTTGCATTTTTTTTTTACATAATCTAGTAAATGTAATACGTATATGCATGTCTTGCGTGTGAATACATATTTATATTTTATACTTATATTTAAAGTTTGAAAAGATAACTAATTTATAGTACAACTTTTGCAAAAAATTATGCAAATTTTGGCAAATGTAATACGTTTACTTATATAGAAGTTTTGAATAGATACTGTATACGGTCAAAACCGAGTCTGCCCTTCGTATGACTAATCGAGATTGGAATATGATTGTCCAAGGTTCATCATTATAATATCGAGTCATGATACGAAGATAGGTTGTCGAGCTCGAGCCCCAGAGAACGATCAATATCGAGATCGAGTCAAGAACGAGCTCGAGACCGATCAATACTGAGATCGGCCAAGATCGAGATCGAGCCAAGGTCGAAAAAGCCGTTATAGCCGCATTTGGGGAGAGAATCTCGGCGGAAATCACGGCTTGAATCAAGGAAAAACTAATTAATTAATCAATCATGGGATCCCCACTATGTAATTTTAATTATGTCCAAAATGGGATTCCCCCACTATATTAAGAGTGGTTATCATTTGTAATAGGACGGATTGATTCAGACACACATTCATTCTGAGATATAGAGAAAAGAGAGCAAATATTACCTTCTTTTCTAGTCATATTATTTTTTCTATCAGTCGTTCTTCATTCAATTTGGAGGTGATAAAACTTGAAGGCTTAAGCTAACTAGTTCATTCGGTTTGCATCCATTTCTTTTATAACTAATTTCGATATTCATTTAAATATTTTTCACGATTTGTATCAATTTATATTACGTATCCTTAGAACTACGTATAAATTCAACTCAATCCGTTTTTCGGGTAAACATATACAGAATGTAATTTTTCTATTTCTAGAGTGTTACTTACAAATTTGTAGATTAAATACCTATGTATGCACGTAATATTTAGATTTTTGAAAGACACAGTGTAGCTGTAGCTTTCTCTTACTAATTCCAGTGACTTTTACAAAACCTTACACTTACTCTCATAGATGGAATACTTATATGTTAATGTTTTGTGTGCCAATATGGATGTTTATGTTAGTTTTGAAAGATGCAGAATGTAGCTCGCAAGGTTTCCAAACTTTTTGTACACAATCTGGTAAATATTATACCTATTGTGTCTATTAAGTTTTGGAAACTTATGGATGAAGTTGTGGTTACTTTGTTTCAGGCAGAGATGAAATTCAAGGACAAATGGCTAGTCTGTATTTCTCTTGGTGAACAAACTTTTCGCACCCATGTGTCTGATCAGTTAAGTACCTGTGCCTGCAGACAGTTGCTTGGAATCGAATTTGTGTCTTGAACAATGTTCCCAGTACACACACACAGATACAAACATGTATTTTGCATATAAATATTTGGAGAATTCACTTCTGCCACTTCCAAAGTTATAGCTGACTCTGTGTGTGTGGGCGGGGGG